TCTTAATCACATTTTATTGTTACTGAGACAAAATGTCTGACACTGAAAGTTAAAGAAGAAAAGATTTATTTGGCTGAGAGATGGTAGAGATTTCTATCCAGTGTCAGCTGGTTCCAAGGTACGGTGGCATAGCACCAGGACGTCACTGAGGAGAAACAGTCCACAGAAAGCAGACAGGCGAGAGCACACACTACCTTTTTGTCCCTCATGTTTTGTGTACCATTCACACTCTTAATCCTAACTACAATGATCCAAACCAATTCCTCAATTTTCTTACTCTTAAGTACCTAGTGTTCCTTTCATTATTGTAAAAGCTGTTGTAAAAGTTTTGCTTTTTTTTCTTTTTGAAACTGTAATAGCACTGAGATATGTCTGGATGATGGCTTATTTACAACTTCTTTCTAATACTGTATGTTTTAGCTAGAAGATGTTTCATGCTTCATTTATTTTTTTTTAAATAGCAATTTTCCAGGTAGAGTGGTGCAGGCTTGTAATCGCAACTACTTGAGAAGGCAAGGAAGCCATATCATGAATTGAAGGCAAGCCTGAGCAATTTAGCAAGACTCTCATGTGTAAGACTCTGGGTTCACACTCCCATACTGCATATCAAGCACTAGTGCACACGCACACACACAGTTAACTCACCCTGTTCAAATCCTAACTCAATGCTGCTTTGGTTCCTTTCTTCTTAACTCCTCTTATAAAGTACATTGCCCTAGGTTGGTGGTGGGCACCAGAAACTCCACAACTCAGGAGGCTAAAGCAGGAGGATTTCTGTGAGTTCAAGGCCAGCTTGATATACATAATGAGACCCTGTCTGAAGAATCAAAACCAAAGGGCCTGGGAGATAGCTCAGTACAATAAACACTTTCCTGGCCTGAGTTCAATCCCCAATTCTAAAAAAAAAAAAAAGAATCAAAACCCAAAACACCCACATTGTACTTTATGATAGTAATAAAAGGCTACTCACAGTCCAGCCACCATCTCCCTCTTTGGCCTCCCATTTAATGATGCCCTTCAGCCACAGGCTTCCTTTAAAGCACTGCCACTTGGCACTGACTTTATCAGAGGAGCCCCATCACACTCTTTCAGGAACAGATACTTTGAACCAGTGCTCTCATGCCCGTGGGCAGTAAGGTCCCATGTACCTCTCTCCTGGGGTCTTCTCTACCCACATTGAATATGTTTTCAAGTGCTTTTAGCCATTGTATTTTAACTGTTACATGTTTATTGAAGGTCAGGCTCATGCCCTAGAACTCCCTGCACAATGATAATGTTGCTTAAATCTTTGTGTTTTATTGGCAATCAGGAGGCACTCAGGATATAACAATGTAGACTGACACCAGTCAGGAACTACCAAACTCTCAGGGCCTTAGGCAACAGTTTTCATCTCTGAAAATTCACTTCACTTCCTTCCCAGGAAACATGTTTACTTTCCTTTGCTGTAGATACTTAACTCAGTAAAAACCTTGAGGTTGATCTCTTTTCCAGGTGAAATGATACACATAGTTCTCATGAGCCATGCATGCTCCTCTATCATTAGATATCCTCCCCAATTTAATGTCTGCATACTCTGGCTTACAGCTAGAGAATGTGCCACCAGCTAGCCCTATGGTCCTGTATAGATAAACTCCTGGAAAAAATGAGCAAGTTTTAACTTCATGATACCTCCAAAAACAAAATAGGAAAGTGAATACTTTCTTTACACTTGAACCAAAGAAATAGTAATTCTCAAGATCTGTCTGTCTGTCTTTCTATCTTTTATTCTTTCTTTGCAGGAATTGCCTAAGCTGGGTCAGAAACGTGGGATCTGTCTTTTTAAATAATTTTGGCAGGAGATATACCTCAGTGGCATAAGCACCAGAGTTCCATCCCCAGTAAGCCCCCCCAAATAATAATTTTATAGGTATATTTTAGATGTTTACAACAATGTTCATCACAGTGAATGTGTGCCTGTACGAGACACACCTTTACTCTTCTTTTCCCCTTCTTCCCCTCCTAAAGTGTTAGGCTTACAAGGCCTGCCCCATCACACCCATTTTCAGCATTTCAACTTACATGCTCTGCACAAAAATTCATTGTAATAAAAGCTTCCATTTGCTGGCATTTATTTTGAATCACCCTTTGTTTAAATGTACAGTACATCATTAAAAACCAGAGACCTGATCTTGGAGCATTCCTTACCAAATGCAGCAGTGCCTCTGCCTACAGAATTCGGTCACGGGACTGGGCGTTGTTAGCCGTTTCATAACGACTGCAGTGAAGTCATTCATCACGTGGCCCCTCCTCTCCCTTGACCTGGACACTCCATTCAGGTCACTGTCAAGGCATTTATTTAACACATATTTTTGAGCCCCTAATAAGTATAGATTCCTATTTTAGGTTATCAAAATACAATAGAAATAGCATAAATCAACCAAAGGGCCTATCTTTATTGATATTGGGTTTTGTGTGGAAAGCATTATTTATTTTCTGCTTTTAAAAATTTTTGTTGTACTCTGGATAAAACTGAGTTTTTTCTGGAGGACAACTCTATTCCTCAGATTCACCTACAAACTTTTCCATGACCTCCCTTAGGAAGCTATTTTGGTGTTCATATCATTAAAATCAGGCAAATATTCCTCTTTGCATTAATAAGAAAATACAATGATTTTGTATGCTTTGTTTCATTGATACTCTCTAAGACTGTGAAGTAGAAAAACTACCAAAAAAAGTTAGACAAAAGAAACAAAATCCTAGTCTGAAGGCAAAGAACAGATTATGTTTTATTTTTTCTACCTCATTTTTATACTTTACTTCTGGATAGTTAGGACTAAGATAAGCAGGACCTATATAATAAAAAAATGTAACTGTTGGATCTGACAAGGTCAGTCAAATCCCCTCAGGATTTACCCTGAAACCCAGTTCAACAGTTTGTAGATCTTTTGTCAATGTTCACCATGTGGATGAGTCACAGCCATTTCTTGATCAGTTTGCTCTCTGTGAAAGCCTGAGAGAATGTTTTCTCCCCATGTGACTCCCCTTAGTCACGCTCTACATCATCAGTCACTTTCCTCTGTGGCTCCAAAATCTCCTTGATCAGAAAATTTGGGACACCACTGAGTTACAGGATGTTACAGTATAGGTTCTCGTTATGTCCTGAGTCCTCACTGACAAAGGTATAAATAGTAAATCCATATTAATATGCTGAGCTATAAAAGGCTCAAGTTAACAACTTCTGACATTGTCAATCATGTGGATAACCCACTACTATTATAGACTACTGGACTGCATTGTATTACTTTGCTGAATTCATGCACCTACAATATATGAATGGCAATGGAATACTCATCTCTGACAAAAGTAAACAAAAAAGGGGGATATAAATAAAGGACCATTTTGTAGTGAAAAAAATATGTATCTGTATGTACAAAATAGTTATCATAGATATAGTTACTTTCTCTAAGTTCAATGAGAAGAAAGTTTTGAACTAATAGTTTTTAGACAAGATATTATGTCTGCATCTAGTACTATGAATAACTACTTTGAAGACAAAAATATGCAATGTATTAATTATTGTAACTGTCTTACTTACCTGTTTTGAAATTGTCTCTTTGCTACTTCTTTCTCAATAAAATTAATATTAAAAAAAAACCCTCAGTTTTCACCTGAGCTACATTCTCACCCTTTTTAAATTTTTATTTTGAGACAAGGTCTCCCATATTGACTAAATTGCCCTGGCTAGGCTTGAATTTGTGATCCTCCTGCCTCAGCCTCCAGTGCTAAGGTGTGTACCAACACACATTGCTAGGAAGCATTATTTTAATATTGAGAATACTTCACGAAATATAATTTAAAATTATGTTGTCCCAGTTACTTTCTTTCATTGCTGGGACAAATATCCGGCAGCCAAAATGAAGGAATGAAAGGTTTGTTTAGCTCACAGTTAGTGGAGGTTTTAGCTGGCTCCAAGGCAGACTTACACATGTTAGAGAGCAGCAGCTCATGGCAGCTGAAGGCAACAAAACAGCAAGAGCAAATAGGAGGAGTAACAGCAACAATGGCAACAGAGCAAGCCTCTCTCTCCTAAATTGCATTCAAGCTTTATGCCCCAGGCTTTGTGTAGTAATCTCAGCAGTACTAAGATCCATAATCCCAGCCTTAATCATGAATTAATCTGAAACTCTACAAGTCCCTGCCCCATGACTGCACCAGGCATTGGGGGGACAACTAAACACAAGCCATAACATATGTGAATGAAAGATATGATTCCTTGAAAATAATTAACACATTAACATAAACTACAACTGTAGGAGGACTGAGAAAACTTACTTCCTGAATAACTAATTTAAATGCTAAAGATTTGTAGGGGTTTACTTGACAAAACGAATAGGCGGAACATTTCAGGAAGAGATCTTACTATGTGCAAATACCCTGTAGCAGGAAGCAGACTGGGAGTTATGAAGGTGTTAAACAAGACCAAAGAGATTTAACATCAGAAATAAAAATGTCAACTTATTAGAGTTGAAGATGGAGACTTTTTAAGAGTGAGACAGATACACATGCCAGAGCTGACTCACACTGGCTACCAAGGGCTGTCACCAACATTATAAGTTTGCTGATTTATAATTCTCATTTCCAGCTTAGCAGAAATGTTCTCATATAACTTTCTGCATACTGAGCATAAGTCCTATTTTTTTTTTCATTTTTAGAAATCAGTTCTATCTTTGTACCAGGATTATATCCTTAGTGGATATAGCTGAGCCAGAACTAGAATGCACATACATAGCACATGTATTTTAGGAATGTAAAATTATGTTTTCAGACTCTTGACACTTTGACAGTAGCTATCTTATAAGATTGGAAACCATAGCAGCAATGGAATGCTTAATTCAGTATCAGTTAAGGGTTCAGGACAGATTGGAATCAGACAGAAAAACAAAACAAGAGCACATAACTTTATTTTGGGTCTGGTTGCTTTGTTTCCTTCTTCAACACAGTTACCTTGTGCTTCCCATCAGGTGGTTGACCAGATTGATACCCTGACTTCTGACCTACAGCTGGAGGATGAGATGACTGACAGCTCCAAGACGGACACGTTGAACAGCAGCTCCAGTGGCACAGCCTCCAGCATAGAGAAGATCAAGGTGCAGGCCCCCACGCAGCTCCTCAGAGGCCCTACACAACCCTCGGCTGTCCTCACGGTTCTGAGAAAGCCGAACCCCCCACCACCTCCTCCCCGGCTGACTCCAGTGAAGGGGGACGACACTCAGAGGGTGAAGACCAATGGCACTCTGCTGCGCAGTGGAGGTCTGCCTAGTGGACCCAATAAGATCCCCAATGGAGATATCTGCTGCATACCCAGTGTTAACTCGGACAAGGCTCCCGGGCAGCCTCTGATGCATAGACCTGAAAAAGACAGATGCCCGCAGGGAGGGCCTCGAGAACGGGTACGGTTTAGTGAGAAAGTACAATACCATGGCTACTGCCCTGACTGTGATAACCGGTACAACCTAAAAAATAGGGAGGTCCACCGGCACAGTGAGCCTGTGCACCCACCAGGAAAGACTCCGCACCAAGGGCCACCTCTCCCTCCTCCTCCCCATCTCCCTCCTTTCCCTCTGGAAAACGGGGGTCTGGGAGTAAGCCACAGTCACAGCTTCCCCCCTCTCAGACCTGCAACTGTGCCTCCTCCCACTGCACCAAAACCACAGAAGACCATTCTGAGGAAGTCAACCACTACAACAGTGTGATGTATGCCATTTTAAAAGCTTCTTGATTTTTAAAAAATTTCTATATCATAAGCATTAAATAAGTAATGAGCACTTTCTACTCAAGCAATAAAAAGCTCAAATGTATTAGTCCTGCATTCAAGAAAGTGGCAAAACACACACACACACACACACACACACACACACACACACAAAAAAAAAAAAAAAAAAACCTGGTAAGTATGCAGCGCATTGCTTTATCCTGCGTTTACAAAGCTTTAAAAGTTAAATGGTCAAAACTGCAAAGTAATGAAACAGTATGAATTCATTGTTTATGCAATTGCACTATGACAATATATGACCTTCCAATTTTTAAATATTTAAATTTATTGAACTACCCAGGATGATTCATTTATTCATGCCTAATTCATCTATGCATCAATAACATTTCATATTCTTAACTTTGATCCAGTGCTTTTCAATAAGAAATTTTAAGAATGAAGGACTATTTTATTATTCTTTTCTAAAGATGTTTGTCCCTAGTTTTGCATTTGAAAATGATATCAGAAAGTTTATTTTCTATACTATACAATTATATGTTCAGCTATATATGTAATAAATATTTTGGTTGTGGAAGCATTATGTCAATAAATAATAGTAAACAATGGCAAGAACAAATGTTCTTCAGAATTTAAATGAAGGACTCATCACAATATTAATTGAAACGGGTAGTAAGTTTGACTGTTATGAGAAGATCACAGTAAGTGTATGTCAGAATTTTCTAAATTATAAAGCACACTGTATGTCATAAATACACCTTTCTGTACCTGTATATTATATACCTCCATGATACTCTTGGAAGGACCACCTGTATGTCGTCAAGTGCTGGGATTCTCCTGCCCTCACCGTTCATCCAGGACACACTATACACCAGAACACTGAAGCCTCCTGTGTCAGCAAATTCGGACTCCATCAGAGAACTCATATTCACAGGAGAATTAAAAAAGTAAATTATACATGTTTCTGGTAACAGGATGCGTACTGCATAAGCCTTGAGCTTGTTTGCTTCAGAAGTTAAAGGATTGTGGTTCTTTTTTATTCCAAAGAAGAGAGAGTGGGAATCATTTTATTGTGTCACCAACTATCTTTCTCTTTGTCCTCATTTGCCAGCTAAGGAAATTTATTTATTGGGGGTTAATCTGGGGTTTGGATTAATGAGATATTTTGTCCTGAGACCAGAAATAGATTTCTCTCCCTACAGTGGTAGTAAGGAAAGGTATCTCAAAAATGTGATCCAAAGTGGTAAGTGTAGAGGGAATCACCTGAAAGAAAATTAGTTTATTGTGTAAATTGGAGAATGCAGTGAACTTTCTGAAAATTTTGACTCTTGATTTCAAAACTAATTATGGCTCCCAAAGAAAGGCAGTCTTCAATGACTTTGTTGTTGACTTGGGGCTGGACATAATTTGTAACATTGTTTTTAAAACAATTTCTGTTAAAATATGATATTTATTTTTTGATCATGACATAAAAGTGAAGTAGGATTCATTTTTATTTTTATTTTTTGGTGGAACCGGGGATTGAACTCAGACCCTTACTCTTGCCAAGGAAGCGCTTGTTCTACTGAACCATCTCCCAGGCCCAAGGATTCATTTTTAAAAGCATGATCAGATTAGTCAAAAACAATAGATGATTGGCCAACTGAATATCAAAATAATGTGTTAACATTTTACTGCCTATGTTCTTGATATAGATAAACCCGGGCATCATCTTTCTCTACTTAAATAATTACTCCCTTCAAACATGTATCAGATATCAAGATTATAAGCAGTTGTAGACACAATTTTCTTCCTTTAGCCTGTCTTCCTTGATAAATATGTTACTGTGACCTAAAACTTAGCATGTTATTGAAGACCTTGCCTCATGTGGATGCCTAGAAATTCAGCTGGATCTCTAAGTAAGGCTATCTTATAATCATAAGTCAACCACAGACCAAAAACTTCCTTGAAATATAATGCATTAAGCAAATTGAATCATTCAAGCTGGTTGAAAAGTGACATTGAGCCAGATATCTAGAAAAACATTCAGAGGTTCAAATCTCTTCTTCTTCTTCTTCTTCTTCTTCTTCTTCTTCTTCTTCTTCTTCTTCTTCTTCTTCTTCTTCTTCTTCTTC